TCCTGCAAGTAGCTGGGATGCAGAAAAGATTTCTGCATAGCTCAAAAATTCTGCTTAAATTAATAACAAGTTTATTGCCCCCCCTGGGATGCAGAAAAGATTTCTATATAGCTCAAAAATTCTGCTTAAATGAATAACAAGTTTATTCCCCCCCCCCCTTTTTTTTTGTTTTAATAACTGCAATTTTCAAAGATAAACCTGAGTCAGTTTCTTTTTCCATTTCCTAAAAAAAACTTGAAGGTTCCCCTACAGAATGCTGAAGATCTCACAGACCTGAGAAAGCATCTCTGCCTCTCCCCTTCTGGCCCACAGGTCAGTTTGTAATCCTTTGCTGATACTAAATACACAAATACTTTTTAGCAAGGATTTCCATTTAAAATATTCATACATCTTAGGGAAAAAAAAAATCTGAATAGCCACCGGTGTGCTCTCTGACTTCACTGAGAGCAAACAAAACACTGGCAAATTACTCAAAGTATTCAAATTTAATTTAGACAGGAGCCAAGTATTTGGATTGGCGACACCTCACAGCCAAGATTAACTGAGTAAAACAGAATGTAAGGTAACCTAGAAATTAAAGTAAAAGTATCTACCTAGCTTTCACATGATTACATGCAAGTTTTTTTTTCCTCTTGACACTGTATTTCTCCCTTTGCATTATGAGTGGATTAAATTAAAAACTATTCCTAACAGGGGCATTAGCTTTCACATGATTACATGCAAGTTTTTTTTTCCTCTTAACACTGTATTTCTCCCTTTGCATTATCAGTGGATTAAATTAAAAACTGTTCCTAACAGGGGCACTGAATTATTTCAGATTATAATGCCATGCATTTCAAAAGTGTCTTGACTCCCATGCCTCAGCTAATCCCCTCTAAATGTATTTTCAGATAAGAACACCAAGACTCAGCTTGAGCTTTGGAAACAGAGGCAGAGATGAGAAGAGTCAAAAATCAGAGAAGGTCCAGTGAGGATCCTGCTCCAAAGATTTGGTCAGCAGCACAAAAACCCACAGCACTCTCAGTTTTCCTCACTGTGGAAATAATCTCTCTGCAGACAATGGTGAATGACTGAAGAAAAAGTTCTTCCTAGGGTTGTTCCTGAGCAGAGAAATTCATAGTGGATTTCAGAAGAGCACCAAAGGACAACAGCAAAGGTCACAAAATGCACTGGTGTGGCTTCTAAAGGCTGTGACATTTCCTGTCCCATGTTATGCCACTAAATCACCTCCTCATTCCACTTTTTCTGTTGGATTTTCAAAGCTTAAATATCAGGTATTAAATATGAAAACTGCATTTTTCATCTTTCTAGCCAGAAGCTCACCATGACTAATATCAGCAGAATATAATAAATGAGATATTGGAAGTTCTCTCCTGTAATTTGCTTTTGCATTACTGAAACTTTGGGGATATAAATTGTGCTCAATTATCACATTGATTCTTATTTCTTATTGTTTACAGTTTTCTTTTAAGACATATAATGAATTATTCTTTGCCACTAATAAAAGTTTTATAGGATGGGAGAGAAGAAATAACTCTTTAGTGATAAAATTTTTCAACAGCAGAAAAAAAAAATCTTTCAAAAAGACAATTTCCTCAACTTATTATATCAAGTTTTTACAGTGCCTTAGAAACATAGAAACCAATTAGTTTTAATCTCCATTTAATTTTATGGAATGCCTCCAGAAGAGCTCTTAACACAAAGCTAAGGCTCCAGTAAGGACAGTGCAAAGATGATGAGAACTCTGCTAATATTATGCTCACAGAGATAGCAGAATTGCAGTTCTTATGTGTTTCTGATAAAAAGTATTAGGGCATAATGTTCAAAACTCTCTGGAAATTGCTCTTTGAATTTACATTGGCAGTGGCTGCACGGGAGAAAACTTCCTCACACAGACACTGAGGTGCAGACAGCAGAATTCAATCAAAAAGGGGCAGAAGTACAAGGAAAAGTCACTTGCAATGCTGAAAAGCAAAAGGGAAATATAAAACCTCATTTTGAATAATCACTAAGACTAAAATACTGTGTTAAATGTTAATACTTTTAAATCACAGGTACTCGAATTTAGAAATATCTCTCTCGTCCTTTTAAATACCTGTTTGAATTAAAATTACCTTTCTGAAGACTGGCTGGAGTTATACTGGTTATTTATCTGTTAAAGCCCACTGGAAAGCTCTGGCTTTGACCTGTAAGTGACCTGAGAAAGGAAATTCTCTGTGAATTAGTAACAGCTCTGCACCTCCCCTGCCACTGCTGCCCAAAACCCTGCTCTTCCAAACCTCCAGAAGGAGGTGAAAGCAGCTTAAAGATGTTTCAGAAATACTTAGGAAATGACATTTTAAAACTCTTTATGTAATACATTTAATAAGAGATTGTTTAAAAACTGATAGAGGTAATCTTTAAAATTTAACACAGATTCCTTACAGTGGTAGCTTCAGTGCTGGGGACCAAATACTAATTTACAAAAAAAAACAACAACAAAACAAAACAAAAAAAAGACAAAAACAAACAACAAAACAACCCACAAGAGCAACAAAAAAAAAACCAAACCAAAAAAAAAAAACCAACCAACCAACAAAAAAACCAACCAGAAGAGCGTTTTAAATGAGACAAAAGACTAACAGATATTCATGCATATTACCACATGGTAATATCAGGGACAGATTTGTTCATAACTTCAATATAATACTGAATTTAAAGACAGGTAATCTGTAGGCACTTTTGCTATCACTTCTTTCAAGTATGCCTCATTTTCTTCATACTGGCTACAAGCTTTTTGCCCACAATCTGTTTTATAAATAACCCCCTCATCTTTCCTGTGTATTTTCAGATACCAGGGTGTCAAGCGCTGGGTCTCAGCAGCAGGAATGAGTCTGATGTTGCTAATCTCTGGTACAAGCAAATCAAACTGAGTGACAACTCCAAGAGGAAGCTGGTTGTTAGGAAACTGTGCTAATAATCATAATTTCTCAGAACAGAGCACAACAAATGCACTGGGAATTCCTTACAACATCCATGTATCAAAGGAAAATAAGGATGGGAAGGTGCAGCTTTCAGTTCAAGAGCCAGGGAGGGTCCAAAGATCAGGAATTTATGAGGTGATATTCAGCAAACCAATTGGGCCACGTTTTAGTCAAATTTCATCAGTGTCACTGCCACATTCCCTTTAACCCAGGTGCTGATCCTTGTCCCCTCCTGTCCCTTGGTGACTCACAGGTTTGGGTGCTGGATTATCCCCCAAACTGGTCCCACCACAAGCAGTTTTCTACGGGCACCCCTGTCTGAGACATCATCAAGGAAATGTCACTGTGATCACCAGCAAATTGGGGAAAAAAAACCCAGGAAAGTGCAAGAGGTTAAGGCAGAAAAAAACTGAAGACAAGGAAGTGTGGAAGGATGGTAAAATCAAGGTACGGACATGCTCCAGGTCAGAAACAGGTTAAGGCAGAAAAAAACTGAAGACAAGGAAGTGTGGAAGGATGGCAAAATGCCAAGGCATGGACATGCTCCAGGTCAGAAATAGACATGTCTGAGGCAGATCTTACAGTGGTTTTATTATAATAAAGTGTTGTGGGAATGAAAAAGGCTTCCTAAAACTGTCTGGAATGAATGAGTATCACATAATACCCAGAGTTCTTTCAGGGTGACAGCAAGTCCCAAGACACCAGCATTTTTGACACACAAGAATCCCCATTTTGAGGGTTTGCCCAGAAGAGCTTGGCCAAGTCATGTGAGGCTTCAGGAATAAACAACTTCTTCCCTTCTCCCCCACCTCCTCTTCCCTCAAAACCATGGAGAAAAAACCACAACAATTTTGAGTGCCATCATGAAAGAGAGATTTTTATACCAAACAATTGCCCTGGGCCACCCTGGGCCACTCAGCTGAATTAAGTCAAAGGGACTGCTGGCAGGCTTAAAATAGGCATGTGTTCAAGAGCTTTCCTGGCTTTGTTGCTGCAGTGGAAAAAAAAAATAAAAAAAAAAAAGAAAGAAGCTGCAGATGCATAAATTTGAAATTGAAAATATCATCAATATCTCCAAGACACAAAGCATAATTAGAATTAGTAATTAATTCTGGTCTACACTGCCTTGCATGAAGCTTAAATGAGAGCAAAGTGAGAGAGATTCCAGATACTCTTTCCCCCTCCCTGTTGCTTTGTATTGCTCTGAAAACAGGTTCAGGAATCACCAGAAAGAAAGATGTGAGATTCTTTGCTGTGTGCAGGGGTGTGCCAGAGCAAGGACACTAAAAAATATCTGTAGCACATCACCAAGGGGGCTGGCACAGTGAGGATGGCACAGGAGAAGTGCGGGAATCTCTTGACAAGTGTTCATGTTATCACTTTGCTGGTTTTTCAGAATTCTGATTTTGTGACAAGCCTTCCTGCACTGTGTCACAAATAATTTCCCTCCCTTTCAGACTGTGGGTCTGAGCAGCAGCAGCAGCAGCATTTCTTCCTGAGCTTCCACAAGCAAAGCAGGATGCTCTCCTGGCAGCAGAAATCTGCCATGACCACGTTTGTGATGCTCTCAGGTACTTTTCATTGGTCTGTAATCTGTTTTATTTTAAGGGAAGGATGCCCACAATGGCTCTTCTGGCCCTGCTCCAACTAGCTGGAGTCATCTTTAGGGTAATATTTTCATCTGGTCACTGGTGGTCTGAGGATGAATCCATTCAGAACATCATTCAGAAACAGCCACCCCCCAAAATGTGCATCAAGAGACCCTGCAGGAATGCAAAGAACACACTGGGTAGACGTGTTTGCAAATGTAGGTGAAGTTTCTGCTGCTACAGAAACTACACACATCTCTTTGCATCTGCTGCAAAGACCAATATAAACAAATTCAAAGAGAAAGTGGCTCTGCCAGCACCAGTGCCACAACAACCACAGTCACCCCAACATGTTTTGACAGGCATTACTTGCAAAACCATGTATTTTGATAGATCAAAACAGCTCCCAGCGTCATTACAGCCCTTTTAAGGGGAAGATATTACTCACCCTTTCAGAGCTCAAGCCCGTGAGCCACCAGGCAGTGGCTCAGTCATGCCTGAAGCCCTGCCATGGATGGATGTCCATAGGGGCAAGTGGAAACCTCACAGAAGCCGTGGGCTTGACGCAGAATTTATTTGTGAGATCCTGTGCAGCCTGTGACAAGCAAGAGATCAGAAAAGGTATCAAAAAAAAAAAAAAAAAGCCCCTTCTGACTGGGAGATCTGTCAGCCGGCTGATCTGTGTGCTGATGCCTCTGAACCCCAAACACCAGCACCCCGCCCCTGGAAGTTTCAGAGCAGACAGTGCACACCCCAAGATGCCACCACGGTAACAATTACTGCAGAAGGACAGGCTGCGATCTGCCTCATCAGCCACCGGCAACTAATTAAAGATCGAGAGATCAGAAAAGGTATCAAAAAAAAAAAAAAAAAAAGCCCCTTCTGTCCTTCTGTTCTGACTGGGAGATCTGTCAGCCGGCTGATCTGTGTGCTGATGCCTCTGAACCCCAAACACCAGCACCCCGCCCCTGGAAGTTTCAGAGCAGACAGTGCACACCCCAAGATGCCACCACGATAACAATTACTGCAGAAGGACAGGCTGCAATCTGCCTCATCAGCCACCGGCAATTAATTAAAAATCAGTGGCACGGAAAACCCCAAGGAATGGCACGTGCAATTAGCAAATGCATTTAAAGCCCAGTGAGTTTTTGTCTGACACCACTCTGCGCCTCATCCCACTCCCTCTGCGAGCCGAGGGGGCTGCGGGAGGGTTACCCACAGAGTTCCACTTGGAGAAGCTCATTTCCAGGGACTTGAGTCATCATCGCCAGTGAGAGTTTTCCTGTTTATTCCAGCGGGCCTTGGATGGCCTGTAAACATCCTTGCCAAAACAAGCAGTCTCCGATAGGCAAACAGGCTCTGCCTTCACTGGTTGGATGACTCGGGGGTGGCTGGGCTGCCCTGGACAGTCCAAAGTTGAGACACCGCTTGGCAAACATCCTGCACGCACCACCAGCAGCCCCAAATTTAAGTTTAAACAATGCTTTTCAGTGAAAGTTAAACTCCTCTGACAAGATTAGGCAGGTTAGTGAGTGGTTTCATGACCCCTTATACCTGCAAAGAGCCCTGCGACACCCGGCAATTTAAAAAAAAAAAAAATTATAAAAAGGGCAAAAGGATTTATAATTCCTATGGTGAATCCCAGAAATGGCTACAGTTTGCCACAGCCTCTGGAGCAGACAGAAACTGTATTTCTTTCCTCGCCGGCTGCGAAGTCCCGAAGGCAATTCTGGCAGGAGGAGCCTGCAGCCAGATCGCTGCATCTTCTTCACACGGGTTTGCTTCCTTTCCCTTAACTAAAAGAGTTAAACCCAAACCCCAGCTGAACTGCTGGAGGACGGCGACGACAGGAATATTAGGAAGAAAAAGAGCAACAACAACAAGAAGAAGAAAGAAGCAGCAATTCACCCCCCGCACAGGAAAGGCAGGAACCACAGATTTTCACACTCACCTCCGCCGCCCGGACCCTCAGATATCCTTCCAAAAACACGGATGGAGCGGCCAAACCAGCGGGAGAGAGCCGGGAGCAGCAGCCTGGGGCTCGGCTGTCGCCACAGGACCTCTCTCCATCAACTCCTCCTTCTTCCCCTCCTCCTCCTCCTCCTCCGTTGGTACCCGCGGAGCAGCAGCGACACAAAGGAGCGCCCGGGTAGCGACAGCTCCCTGCCAGCCCGATTCCCTGCCAGGAGCCAAGGAATTCCCTCTTTTTCCTGCCACACGGGAGTTAAAAAAACCCGCGGTCCGGGAAGGGGAGAAGCTTTCCCGGAGCTGAGGTCAGCGGGAGCTCCAGAGCTGCCGGGACTCAGCTGAAGCTGCTTCAGCCCCAAGTTGCAAAGATAAACCCCCCTCAAGCTAATGTTTTCCCTTGCCTAACCACAGTTCTGCGTTTCACTGCCTTTCTGCATTTCACTGCCTCTGCCGCGCTTGCTTTGTTGGGAAATAAAAGGGTATTGCAGGGCTGGGATGGGATTTCACAGAATTGCTGCGTTCCCTGAACACAGCTGCCCCTTAGAGCTGAAATTCTGCTAGAAGGCAAATCGCAGGGGCAGGGAGGAGCTGCCCTTGGTTTGCTTCCCTGCCAGTGAAGCAAAAAAAAAAAAAAAATGCCCACCTACATTTGCACCTGCATGTTCATCCCACAGCTGCACTTGCAGGTGGAGATGGAGACAGCACACAGGTGATACCTGTGGGTGTTAAAACAAAAAGGGAGAGCCTGGCATGACCTCAGCAGGAGGCAGATGAGGTAAATTAAGTAGAAATTTAGTTGGTTTTTTTTTTTTTTTTTTCAAAGCAGTGGGGACACCAGTGAGGTGGTTTGGATCCCAGCCTTGCACACAGATCTGCAGCTTCAGCTCCTGGCACCTTGGAGATCCTGTAGCAATGGAGAAGAGGCTTGAATTGGTGTCTGGGTGTGTAAATCAAACCTGTGTGTAGCAATGTGGTTTGGTTCACTGTGCTTTCCTCCGCTGGATGGAGAGATAGGTGTCAACCTTCCTGGGAGCAGATCTCTAGGGAATGTCATACTTAGGGGGAAAAAATCCAACCAAAATCAAAACAACAACAAAAGAAAACACACCCCCAAAAAACCAAACCAAACAAACAAAAAACAAACAAACAAACAAACCCCAAAAAACCCCACAAACCCAAAAAACCCCAAACAAAACAAAGCAACAACAAAACAAACAAATAAAAACCCCCAAAAAAACCCCAAACAAAACAAAAGAACCCAAAACCTAAAAGAAAAACCACACACACCAAAAAAAGCCCCCCCCAAAAAACCCCAAACCAACCAACCAAATAAAACCAGCACCGAAACCCTCAAGAAAAAAACCCCAGCTGTATCACCTTGTTGTATCGGTCCCTGGGTTAAATATTCCTGGGAAGGACACAAAAAGGGGATAAAGGAAGGGAAAGGAACCGGATTGACTCAGGATAACGTGGTCTAAGTATCATTTCTTTATGTGGCAGGCTGAAACCACCTGGGCTGCAGCAAGACCCTGAATTTTGCACACCCTGACCTCGTGTCCAGGTGCATCCCAGCAATCCACATTACAATCCTCACTCTTCCCCCCAGGAGAAGGGAGTGGATGCAGTTTTGTCTCATTTCAGTGAGATTTGGGTATGACTGGGAGGGATTTAGATTTTATCCTTGTAATCAACCATATGTGCCCCAGAAGGCAGCAGTGAGGGAAAAGGAGGAAGGTCTGGAGTGCCCTCAGTCCCTGCAGTTCATTCCATGGACAAGACAGACAGCTGGGAATATTTGTCTCCTGCAGGAACTCATTTTACCCTTTGGATAGCCTGGTCATATGTCATTTATCTCTGGAATATCCAGACCAGAAACCAGAATTTTATCTCAAAAGCTGCAAGAGGTGAGGATAAAGGACAGAGAATAAATTTTGTTGTTCTTACCATGATTTTTTGGCCAAAGCAGCTCAGGCTATTATTCAAATGGAGTTCCCTAACTGGAAACTGTTCTGTTTTCACAGCTCCAGTCATGATTTTAAAAAACTCAGTTTGGGTCTACAGGCAAAGCAGTTTCACAAGAATGGGATGGATCTTGCCAGCAGGGCATGATGGAAGAGAAGAGAGATGTTATTGGTAGACTGTAAAGCAAAACTGCCTGGAAAGTGATATTGCTACTGAAATTAAAAAGAAAATAGAAAAAAAAATAAATGGAAAAAAATAGAAAAAAAAGAAAAAAGGGAAACAAGAGAAAAAATAACAAAGAAAAAAAGAGGAAAAAAAAATAAGCTTGTAAACACTTGCACACTAAAAAAAAGAAAAAAGGGAAACAAGAGAAAAAATAACAAAGAAAAAAAAAAAGCTTGTAAACACTTGCACACAGGGCTTTGTTTACTTCCACGTGTAGTTAATCCAGATGGCCACGTGATTACAGCTGAATATGGGATTATGTACCACAGGCCACTTTGGAGAGGAAGACACTGTGCCTGGTGTGCTGTGCCTAAAAGAAATGAGACATTTTCTTCCATGTCTTGTGTACAATTTAAGGACACAAAGAAAGAGCCAGAGAAGCAGAACATAGAAGAAAGTGAGCCCAGTGGGTATCTGTTTTTTATAGTTATTGGAAGAAGATGGGACATTGTCTATGTGCTTTTTAATTGGCCAGAAATAGGAAGTAAATCCATCTTGTATTCATTCTCCTTTTACTTCAGAGATAGTGCATTACAAGGTTTTGCACTCCTGCCAGTACTCACTGCCAAAAGAGTAAATTGCCAGTTTTCACAACGTTGCACATTGTTCCATAAATACATATTCAACAGGGGCAAATACCTTCTCCTTTTAATATCTGTGTTATACTTAAACACATTATTGATTAGAGAGATGCATGTGCTGGGAGACAGCTCCATTTCTTACATTCAAGAAGAAAGGAGAAAAACCCCTCAAATTTATACAGGATGCATCCTTTCTTGCTCTTGGGAAATGAAGGTGCCACCAACACTCCATATTATCACATTCCCACCTCCTATCCCTGTGCCCAAACTGATGAAAAGAGGGTTTCCACTCTCTTACAACTGAAGAACAGTGAAGCCACTGGAAAGGTTTTTGGCAGCACAGCCCTAATGGAAAAGCTCAATCTCACTCATAAAAGCTATGCAATGGACAAAAGCTATTATGGAAATCCTGTTATCGTTCACTTTACAAAATAAATGGGGGAAAAGTATCTGGCAGGGGCTACAGAGGAAACTCTCCACAGTCTGACAGAAAAAGGAACAAGGGATTAATCAGCTCTAAAACGATTAATAAGTTTGGGTTTAGATTCCTCTCTTTTTTTCTTTCCTTCCCAAAACAGACCTCACTAAAATAAAACAAAGGCAAAAACCTCTCTGAGAGCTCTGCCAGTCTCTGTTAGTTATGTGTTTTGAGAAATAGAGTGAGTCCACGTGGCCTCTGTTGTCCCTATCTTTGAGATAATGCTGTTACATTTTAGAAGAGCACTTGAGCTATGGTTGACAAGTGCTCTATGCAGTTTTGTGATAAGAAAACCTCAGTAAGGAAAAAACCTGGGCCCTCTGAAACCATCTCAAATCATAGAAGAAAGGCAAGTGGTACTTGCTGATATGGAGATAATTAACAACTTTTATTTAACAGTAACCCATGGAGCAGTCAGAATTTTGGCTGTAGCATCATGAACTGCAGAAAGTATAGAAGTTTTTGTCTCTAGAGCCCTGTTCTCTGCTAATGGAGATGAAAAACTCTGTGGATCCATGATCTGGCTGAACTTACCTCAAATTCTCTGCTACAAAAATGGCACAGGTCTCCCTCCTGAGAAACCTTGGATAGTTTCAGACCCCAACCTGAATGGATTGAAGCTACTAAGCTGGAGGAAAGTTTTAATTTCTTATTCCCTCCTCCCCAGAAATTTTTCATCTTGGGTAATACATCAAAACTGGATTGCAAATTATTTGTCAAATACTAAAGACACACAGGATGAGGCCATGCAGGAACAGCCCATTTTCACCACAGCAGATCAGCTGACTTCTTATTAAAAACCATACTCCAAAACTCAGAGTCTGTCTTGAATCCTGCTCTATTTCAGTTTGCTGTTCCAGCCAGGCATTGCATCTGGATTCTTCCCTCTCTGAAGACACATCTGTCAAGTGAACCTGCTTGAATTCCTAGTGAGAAGAAAAGACTGAGTATCACCATAAGAATGAAAATGCAGCAGGTAGGGATTAGGATTTATGTGTTAAAGGATCTATTAAGTACATCAAAAACACCAGCAACTTTCTGCAGTCTGTTACAGATTATTTAAACTAAAATGGTTGCCTTTTCCTGAATCTGTCATTCTCTTCTTCCTGAAAATATGTTTAACTTGGGCATTCTGTCTCCTTCACTGGCCTGCACTGCCTGTGGAACTAATGTAACTACTGTAACTGCATCAATCCTTGAAAAAATGGCATTCTTGCCACCTGATAAATGGATTTGCAGCTGTGTGGCAGACAGAACTGAAATGTGAAAAATAAACTATTCCCTGTGAGGTGTTAGCAGTAACTGTATCAAATTGTGATGATCATTTTACAGATACAACTCCAGTGAGTGTGTGGTCTTTAATCAAGTGTCCTTTTAACTTAACACTAAATGCCCTATTTTCTATTTTGAATTATCATTTAGATTAGGCTCTTAGACTTCTTCAAGGAATTCTCCTCCTCACCTACAGTCTAATCTATGTCTACACGTGCCAATCATTTTTTAAACACTGATCCTGGCTGGATGCCACACACCTACAAAAGTCAGTCCCTGCACCAGCTGGGCAGAGGAGGGAAAATACAATAAAAACCTCAAAAAATGTTGAGATGAGAACACAGAGATCAGCCACTGATCACTGATCAGGCAGAAGAGACTTAGGGAAATTAGTTTATTACCAACCAAATCACAGTAGGATAAAGACAAAGGAAACTAAATCTTTAAAACTCCTTTATCCCACCTTTCCCTTCTTCTTCCAGGGCTTAACTTCACTCTCCATTTTCTCTTCCTTCTTCCCCTCGGTGGTTCAGGGAGATGGAGAATGGGGCTTGTGCTCATTTTATTAAACATTCTTTCCTTCCTCCTCCTCATCACTGATGGTCTGGGATGTGGCCACAGGATCCCTCCAGGAGCTGGCTGTCCCAGCTGAACATGGGAAGCTTCCAGCAGCTTCTCAGAGAAATCCCCACTACCCAAACCTGGCCATGCCAGCCCCACACAAACAGAGTTTATTTTATCTGCTGCTGTGGAGCAGCTTTTATTCTCTCAGTGAAAACACCAGCCCACGAGAGCAGCAAATGAACAGCACAGAAAAGTTGGTGCAGCTGGGCTGGGTGATTAATACAAAACAGAACACAAGGCACTCAAGTTTTTCAGACTCATATGTCCTAAGAAATTTAAAGCCAGATGAGGAATATGGGTTTTTTTCCACAAAGTTCTTTTCACCTTTGAGATCTGCTGCATTTTCTTCACTGGTTTCCCTCACTTTGCAACTCCAGCTTCCTAAGTTGGTCCTCAAACTTTCGAACGTCGACTCGATGCTTCATTAGGAACTTCCCATTTAAGTGAAAAACAGGTATGTCATATTTGTATTTATCATACCACGCTGAGTTCTCTGGAAGGGTAATATCCACCTCCTGCAGAATAAACTGTGGCAGAGAAAAAATATGTCAGTTCCTGCTGGACACTGGAAAGCAATACCTGCTTGTCCTCTGATCAGTGCTTTTCTCAGAAATGCAAGGCTGTTTACCTGAACCTTGTGGGTTTATTCTTTGTGTTGTAGATAAGGGACTGGTTTTTTGAGTATAAAATATATGTAGCATAAGCCCTGGCTGCCTCTCCACAAGGGACTCTCTCCCTAGCCCAAAATATTCTTGTTCCACTGTGCAGAACCAGTCTCCTGTGGGCAGCAACCTCAACAAACACAGAGCTGGGAACAAAACAGGCAGCAGAGTGCAACAGTTCTTAAGGCTTGTATTAAAACTTTCCTCCTTCAACAGAGAGATCAAAACCTGGCTGAAAAATGGCAAAAATTGCAGTCACATAGTTCAAATATTCAAAGCCCCACTTAGTCACATCCTTCCCAAATTATATCCTGGCTCATAAAAGTTACAAACTCCTTCAGACAAGGCAACAGAATTTGCAAAAGGAGTATTTTCAGGAACTCCTGTAACATGATTTATATTGGTTTAGTTTGCCAATACTTATTTGAGTAGCATTATCACAAAACGCTTTTGGATAATGAGTTTTATGTAAATCAGTGCTGAAATTGTCTTGAAGAGGTCATCCATGAAAGAATAACAGATGCAAATAAATCCAAGCAATTTTCTTTTTACAAAGAAAGAATCCTGATTAACTGTTCTTCCCATATAGAAAACATATACAGAATTTCCATACATTACCCTTCTCTTGTATGGCTCAAGAACTTCTTTTGCTTCGTCACACAGAGGGCATGGTTTCTAAATGAAAACATTCAGAGTAGCTTAAAGCATGCAGTAAAACACAAAAGTTTTTTGTACTGTGAAATAACACACAGAGAACATTACATTCATTGCTGTGAATTCAGGTTCCCTTCCCTGCACCAAGCACCCTGTCTTAGGGCTTTCTAAAACTTTACTTATCAGTGCAGTATGGATTAAAAATATAACCCCAACAAACTATCCAGCCACTGAATTAAATTATTTTACATTTGCTACTGCATTTCTCATGGGGCAAATTCAACAGTTTTCTAAAAGCAGATCCAAGGGAATGATCTGAAAGTATCATCACCAAATGAAGACAAATGCAGGCACCATTCCTGCTAAGGGAGGAATGAGAAAGCCACACAAGTAACTTCCAGCCTGTCTCAGATCAAGACACATTCTCAGTTTAAATCAGAAAAGAAGGCAATTTAAGATTGGGTGGCTTTGCCTGGAAGATATTAAGCAGGATCCTCCAAACTGCAGAGCTGAAAGAGGAGAATATTCTTCTCAAAGTTACTCTAAGAGTAACCTTCAGTGAGGATAACAGGCAGACAGCTGCAGTGTTCTGACCTGTGATGAGGTCAAAAAAACCCTCACATTTTTGAAAACTCCCTCACCCGAGTTCTGCTGACCACCCAGGCTGTAAATGAAGAATTAACTCATATGAAACTATTTGCAGCAGCAGAATTTGGCCCAAAATTCACATGGCAGAGTATATGGAGGTGAACCTGACCACTCAGTCCCTCTGCCCCAAAACACCTCCCACAGCTGGAAAAGACCTTCTTCTCTTTCTCCCACTGAAAAATCTTCCTAGAGCTTGTTTAAATGTGAAATTAATCTGAAACAGCTATTTTTTTGTTTCCTGTAATGTGAAATTTCCAGTAATGTGAATTACTTTGGATTAAACACTCTACTTTTATTTAGATCTAACCTAAACTGCCTTTCCCACACGGACAAGTCCTTGTGCTCTGAAAACCTAAGCAGGACACTGAAGTGCTGTGTTCTTCCACAAAAGTCCTGGCTGCTTTTGGAGGGACTGGTTTAACAGATACTGGTGACTGAAAGGAATTGACCCAGAACCCTGCACATCAGTTTTGCAACACACCAGGCTCCTTCCAGTTAAAACAGGACACATTTAATTCCTCTAGGCCTGTGGAGAGCTTCCCAGCATACCAGGTACTTAAATGCATTTGTTAAAGATGGTTAACTTTTAGGAAAAAATATTTTTACTGTCATGGCAAGCTTAAGTACTAGGTGGTACTGGCTTAAAATCAAAAGTGAATTATTTTGACAAACAATGAAATATTTTTTAAAAGTAGATTTATATAAGCAACTGGTGCACAAATGGTCAGAAAAAGGGAAAGAAGGAAAACCCATTTGGTAGTTTCTATCAGTTTATCCAGAAGTCATAATTCCCTTCTGCTTTCTCCTTTTCTCCTTATTAAAAATAAGGAGGAGGCAAACAAGGGGTCAATTAGCATAAACTAACAGTGTAGATTAGATTTTTTTTTATAGTCTGTGCTTTTCTTTGCAATTTCCAGTGAACATTTAAAGCTAACAGTAAACATTTCTTGTTAAAAAACACCTTCAACAAAAGGCCATTTCAGAGAACTGCTGGAAATCTGCCATTAGAAAATTTGATTTCACACAGTGCCTTCCTAATTCCTAACACCAGTTAGGAATTTTAAGACACAAAGTGCATTTTTTTTGGGCAATTATTAACCCAAAGGTAAGAACATCATTCCCAACCTTACACCATTTGAATTATGAATTAGTTGAGACTGAGCTGGGCATGGGGAGAGAAAGCTGCAACTTTAAAATATAGTTCTGATTATTAAATGGATGCTGACCTATTATTTTTAACCTATTCATTTGTCACACAGTTTAAACACTCCTGTATGTTTACAGATGGAAATAAAAAACATTGTGCAGGAGGAGGAAATTATTTTAATCTAAAACCACCACACTGATGCCAGCACTCTTACTGCTTTGCATTTGTAGTTACTCTTCTCTTAAAAGCTGCAACAACCACATAAATTCAGAAAAAACCACCCTGTGCCATCCTTTATAAAACTGCAGAACTATGCAGGTAGTAACTGAAAACAATTCATGGATTGTGACAGTCCACAAATGACCCTTCCTGCTCATCTCATCTGTTTTCTAAATATGCCTAGGAATTTTACACGCATTTTATCTGCTGCCAATAAAGCAAAAAGAGGGTAAAAGAAAATCAACTTTTCCCTCACGTGCCCCCAACACTAATTGCATACATTTTACAGTCTCGCAGGTGGTGCTGAAATTAAACATGAGCACTTTGAAGAGCCTGCTTTGACTGCTGATGCTTGTGGTTGGCAGATTGTGTGCAACATTTCATCTCTGCTCTCCATTTTCCTGGTGAAACGCTGGCAGCTGGGCCAAACCTTCAACTAGTAAACGAACCACAGAGTCACAGAGGCAAAACTGTCCTGAAACATTTGCTGATGGCTAATTCCTACTTGCTGCAATGACAGCAGCACTTGTGCAGCAAAGCCTGGTGTGCAGAAACCCACTAAGTGAAACGCCCAACACTGCTTTGAAGGGAGGTAAAAGAAGGCAAGGACAAGCCATTTAAGCTGTAACTCCTGTGTTTCAGAGCTGACAAACACACAGTCTTGCCCAGCTTTGTTGTGTGAGCAGCTCTTACCTTGGTGAATAAAGTCAACACTGGCTTTGTGGTGCTGGCTGAGCAGAGTTGTCTCCCCAGTGGGCAGGGTGAGTGCCTGGCTCGTGGCAGGGCTCTGCTCAGAAAACACAGCACCATCATCCTGTTCCAGGCAGGGAGAAAAAATAAAACTCTTTGAGTTGTTCTGCGCCAAGTTATAGCTCATGAAATTTAATGTCAGGATAAACGCGACGCTTCTGTGGCGGCTCTAAATCACACACAGCCAAAACATTCATCCCAGGGTTTTTATGTTCATGGTATCAACACATTCATCAGGGAGGTGCTGTACTACGTGGCAGGCCAGAAACATTGTGGAGCTCAAAAACCAGCAGTTCCATTAAAAAAAGAAGAAGAAAGAGCAACAAAACACCTACGTTTTCTTGTCGAAATGCCTCTTTTAAATTCCCTAACACAAATGCTGACATAAATGCATTATGCTGCTCCAGCTCCACAGATGCCAGCTGGAATTACATATTTAAAAATGCAAAGTGCTGTGCTTTGAACCTCTGTAATCTTGCTGCAGCATTTGACATAGTCTACTTACCCAAATTATTCCATCAAAAAAAACTAATCTGTACCTAATCAGAATATTAATACAATGCGTTCTGCAGTGAGTAAAAAGCTGTAGCCAAGATGATTTAACTTGGCAATATTAAAAGCATTCACACTGCCCCAAGTCCTTCCAGCAACAGCAAATTAATTGATGGGTTTGTGATTCGAGAGAGAGAGTTTGAATAAGTTAAGTGTTATTGAAGGGTGCCAAGTTGGAGCCTTGAAGTCACCTGTTAATAATGTCATTAACAGCAACACTGCTTCCTCCAAACTTTTGTCTTAATGTGACCTTCACAAGGCATTTTAGGACTGAGGAACAAAAAAGGAAGGCAAAGGGAGTCTGCATGGTCATTACCAGCAGACATGACACCTGATACAAGAATTTACACTGGGAAAACCAAACTGATTCCCTTTCACCCAAAGCCAAACTGCTTCTGCTCAGCTTCAGGCCTGACTTACCTGCAGCTCTGTTATCTAAAGCTGAACACACAACGTGATGTCACAATTTCCAGCAGCTAAAGAGTGTGCAGGATATCACTGCAACTTCTAGGCACAGTTTAGGATGTTTAGTCAAAAAGAACCCAGTGCTCTTCTGCTCCACTGGATCTCTCAGTACTGATATCACAAAGCTTTTTGTGGACAGTTTGTCCGGAATAACCACTAAGGAAAAGCACTGCAGCTCTAAAGCTGTATTTCTAAGCCACAACCACAAGAAAAACCAAATGGGTGACAGGGCACTGCTCCACCAATCTTCCTGCACAGCCAAAAGACAGCAGCTATCAGTAAGAGTCAGCTGCAAGGGGCAGAGCAGTAAAATTCCTGTCACTGAGCAGTGACTGGCACAGCACACACTGCCAAAGGTCACAGTCCTTGGCAGCCACTGCATTTGTTTCACTATGCAAGGTGGAAACAGAGCTGCCTGGGATTTTGCATGTTAAATGTGAAGGACAAGCTTGGAACCTTTTGGAGAAATGCAGACTTGGATGGCAGGAAGAGCCTCAGTCAAATGTGGAAAATTTTTAAACCCACAACCAATAAAAGTCCAGAATGGATGTAGTTTTGGCATGAAGTGTTTACAGCATGTTGGTCTGTTCACATGCAAGATAAAAAACGGGCAAAAAAAAGGGTCTGCTTTCTGACAAGTTTTTTAAGAACGCTTTTGTTGCCAGCCTAGCAAGTCTTTCAAATGAGGAAGATGCTCTCAAATTGTTTTGTTTTAGTAGAATGAACAAAGCCCACATTTCCATAGATCACATTCTGCCTTCTACACATATATCTGCAAAAAACAGCTCCAGCTCTGTCCTATACAGCCCTTTTTTGATCCCTCCATGCTCTGGTGTCCTGAGGACAACTCCTACCAAAACATCTGCTGAATAGGAATTAATAAAACAATATCAGTACCTAAGCTTTGAAAACCCACCAAAAAAAGAGAGAAAAATCAGCCAGCGGTGCCTTAGTGACCTCACTAATTTTAGCTGATTACAAGAAATGCTACCTTCAGAATTCAGAAGTACTACCTTCAAGAAATTCAGAATCCAGCAGCAAATCTTCCCTGACCAGTACTGCTACTGAAGAAACAATTTGCTGTTTCCAGGGCTAACTTGAGACTGGTTGGCTGCTTTTATAAATAACCTAAAGAAAACAAGAGCCCTGTCTGTTTACTCACCTAAGCAAAATGATACCAAAGACACTAAAATGCACAAAACTTCCCATACCATTATTCTGGATCTCTCTCCAGACTACCCCCAATTATAAAGATTTGCTTGAGGGAAAGAAATTAATACATAAACGCAAAGAAGGATGCTTGCAAACTTGAGAATTTACCTTCCCCTACACCACAATGCTACTCATTTAACAAATTATTCTTTTGAGACTGGGCTTGGCCCATGCTCTATTTTGCAGAGCCAAGTTGGACTCAATTCCTATTAATAGAATTCCATCACCCAATAAATCCTCATCTGCAGGAAAAGTAAGTTGTGACACTAAAACCATCCATTATTTAGATGAGGTAAGTACCTGTATAAACTTAATCTCAGCATCAATCAAGGCAAGACAGGAATGGATTTTTTTTCCTTCAAGTATTTACCTTTTAAGTAACAGCTGAAAGAGAATGGGGGGCAGAAAGTGGGTGCAAATATCAGAATGTATGAAATTTTCTGGCAGTCTGCATTTGATTACCTGCCAAGGAAATGCTGGACAGGAAAATAGGTGACACAGACCAGGGAGCCCACGTGAGTGGGGACAGCAAACCCTGCAGCTCTGGGGATCCCCACGCAGCTTTTACCCCACCAGACACTCAGAGGAGACCTGCAAAATACAAGAAAATATTTTTGCACATGCTCATAACTCTGGAAGTCTTTCAGGGAGAATCAGGCTCTTCCAGCAGCTCGAAATTCAAAGACACCATCAGCAATACCGGCTCTGGCTGTGGGGTGAAGTTATGCATCAATCAGTGCAAGTTTCCATGCATTTTCTCCTCTAACCTGGGGAAAATGCCAAAAAGACACTTCATTCCATCCCAGAAAAGAGGGAAATGTCACATCTGTCAACACATTTTGCTCAGTAACCCCTCCAGGAGCATGAATCTGGTCCAGGGCCACACTCCAAATTCCAGATAATTCAAATTACACCCAACACGTTGCTGTAATGGCCTGCTCTGAACACTATACAGAACTTGCACAAAATGACACACTGCTACCACAATCTAAAGTTTGTAATGGAGTTTAAAAGATAATAGTAATAATAGCACAGTAAAGGATAATATATATGCCACATTATAGAACACAGCACACAGTATTTTATATAAAACCATGTGTCTCATGAAATTATTTTAGATGCTACACATCCTATAACATTATAATATTAACAAACACAGCAATAAAATTAAAATATTTAGATATTGCTGACAATACATATTTATATAGGTTATATTAAGGTCATATTAATATGTCACTAATATGCAATTAATATTTGGTATATTGTATCAATAACTGTATTAATGATAATGTTTGTTATCTATAACATTATAATATTAACAAACACAGCAATAAAATTAAAATATTTAGATATTGCTGACAATACATATTTATATAGGTTATATTAAGGTCATATTAATATGTCACTAATATGCAATTAACATTGCTTTGGTGTATTGTATCAATAATTGTATTAATGACAGTGTATGTTACATCAAATATGTACATAATAATACTGTATATTAATTATATACATAATAATATTGTATATTATGTGATATTTATATATTTTATTTAGATGTTCAGCTTGTATGTTTTAAGTATATACATATATGTGCATATAAAAACATACCTATACATATATAATCATGCAACTATACAAATATTTGCATGAGCATATATATATGTATACAATTTACATGTATACAAATTTATGTTAATACATGTGTATATACAAATATACACATATAATAATATAAATTATATATATATTTCTACATTATATTATATATATTTCTACATTATATATATACATATATACAGATGTATATATGTACACACATAAAGATACATACATTATGCAGTATATACACACATATAAGCACACACATTCATACACATATAGATATATACCTACGGATAAGCATATAAATATATAAAATAGATAACAATATGACATATATTATAAATATTTACATATATGATCCATATTTGTGTGCCTATACATATAATAACACATATATATATAAGACACATATTTGTGTGTGTATATATATGAAAAACAAGTATGAAATATATAATATTGAAATAAATATTGAAAAGATAAAATAAATTTAAAATAAACAGTAAATTTACATATACATATACACACACAAATACATACATATATATGTATACGTATGCATATACACATATATATTAAAACATAAAAAATGTTTAAATGTAGAAATGATACGCATTATATATATTACATAAAAAGAGCTTTAAACATATATACACACATATGGATATGTACCTACAGAGTGCATATAAATATAAATAATAGATAAATAATAACATGAAATATATTTAATATAAATAATAGATTTGTATTACATATATTTAATAGATAAATAATAACATGAAATATATTTAATATAAATAATAGATTTGTATTACATATATTTAATAGATAAATAATAACATGAAATATATTTACATATATGATAAATATTTGTATACCTATATATATGAAAAATAAGTATTAAATATATCATATTAAAATAAATATTAAAAATATAAAACAAATTTAAAGTAAATATTACATATACATATGCACACACATATACATTTTAATACACATATTAATATGTATAAGTACATAAACATTTATATATAAAAATAAATATAGATTTTAGATCTATAAATATATATTTTATATATATTTCGTATAAAAATATAGAAATTATATATATGCATTATATATTCTTATATATCTTATATATTAAAAATATATAAAATTTTACGTAAATTTTATTTATAAAAACATAGAAATACATTTATATGTGTGTATATATAAAAACTCATAAACACACATACATATATATATGTGTGTGTGTTTACGAGGTTTTATATATATATTTATATATGTATATATATAAATATGAGGTTCTATATATTTCATATAAAAATATAGAAATTATATATATGTATTATATATTCTTATCTATCTTATATATTAAAAATATATAAAATTTTACGTGTATTTTATTTATAAAAAGATAGAAATATATTTATATGTTTGTATATATAAAAACTCATAAACACACACACATATATATATAACCACATATACATATAAACCACATAAATAAATAAAAGAATGAATGAATAAATAAATGAATAAATAAATAAATGAATGTATCGAAATGTTTATATGTAGGTGCGATATGCATAACATAATATATATATACACATATATATAAACACACACACACACTATATATATATATATATATATATATAAAACACAATAACAGTTTTAAACACTTCTACTTGGAAACTTCGGAGCGAAACCGCCGGCCAGCCCAGCAGGGTACAGTGTATCCAGCGGCCTCCTCACTTTTCCCCGCAGGGATCCAGCCTGAAAATTTGTAACAGGACCCTCCGCGGGGACAAGGAGCATATAAAACAAATTTAAAGTAAATATTACATATTCATATACATACACATATACATTTTAATACACATATTAATATGTATAAGTACATAAACATTTATATATAAAAATAAATATAGATTTTAGATATATAAATATATATTTTCTATATATTTCATATAAAAATATAGAAATTATATATATGTATTATATATTCTTATCTATCTTATATATTAAAAATATATAAAATTTTACGTCACATATATATAAACACACACACACACTATATATATATATATATATATATATAAAACACAATAACAGTTTTAAACACTTCTACTTGGAAACTTCGGAGCGAAACCGCCGGCCAGCCCAGCAGGGTACAGTGTATCCAGCGGCCTCCTCACTTTTCCCCGCAGGGATCCAGCCTGAAAATTTGTAACAGGACCCTCCGCGGGGACAAGGAGCGGAGCCGCATCCCGGGGGATGCTGCATCCCGGGGGAGCCGCATCCCGGGGGGTGCTGCATCCCAGAGGATGCTACACCCCGAAAATCCGACTCCCGCGGGAGCAGCACCCCGAGGGAGCGAGCCCCGAGGAGAACAGCCCCGAGGAGCCGCAGCCGCTCCCGGCGGTCCCGCACCCACCTGCGGGAGCTCCGCCGGAACCGCGCCGGGAGCGCCGGGAGTGACGTGACTCCGGCACGGGAAGGAAGCGACACCGGCCCGGGAAGCGCTCCCGGGGGGAAAGGGGGGCGGCCAGAGAAAGTGAAAGTGTAACAGTAATAACAGCAGCAATGGTAATGCAACAGAAATAACAGTAATGCAATAAATAGTAGTGTAATGGTAATAATAGTAATGTAATAGCAATGATGGAAATGGGAAGAGTAATGGTAATAATGGGATCGGGAAGTTCTGTGAGTAAGTTGGAGAGTTGCCCTGGAAATCGGTGTGTTAGTCCGGGGGGAAGGGAAGGGAAGGGAAGGGAAGGGAAGGGAAGGGAAGGGAAGGGAAGGGATTCAGTCCAGATGATGACCAGGATCCTGGGGACTTTGAGGGTCTTCTATCCCCCCTACAAATCAGCCTTTGGTCATCACTTCACACCCACCTCCGTGCTGATGCTGCCTTTTATTTGTTGTGTCGTAAAACAAGGATTTTGTCCCAGAAAAGTGCTGCCTTGCCTCAGGTGGGTGTACTGTATAATGGAAAAAAATCTGCATTCTTAGAGGGTGCCACTGGAGCACAAAGGGTCACAACAACGAAAGCACACAGGGAAAAAGCTGGGCCTGCTCAGCCTGGAGGTGACTGAGATGGGATCTTATTAGTGCATATAAATATCTCCGAGGCAGGTGCTAGGAGGATGCTCTTGATGCTCCATTTGACTACTCTGAGGTGTTTCTGTCATCAGGTGTGTTCATTTTCCTTTCCCCAGAGAAATTTCAAGTAAAAAAACAGCAAGTGTCCACTGCTGAGCAAATGAAAGCTGCAGGCTCATGTTTACATACTGTAAATACACACTGCATTTCTGTCAGGATTTTGGTTTTGCCATAGTAGCTATCCCTAGGCTGAGAGTGGGAGACAAATCTTTAGGGCAGAGGCTCAAGTCAGCTTCTCCTCTTCATCTGTGCTTTGGGAAAGGCTCTCCAGGGGTGTAATCCCACCCTGCTGATGTGACACGTGTAATTAACCAGCATTTAAATTAACACGAGGCAGAGTCAGCTCGGGATCTTAGTGACTCCTTTTCAGACACTGACTTAATCCCTGCTGCTGAACAGAGAGGTAATGCTGGCAGCTGACACTGCCTCCTCTTTCTTCTTTTCCCAGCATCAGAAAATCCAGTGCAAGACTTCGGTGTTTGGCACTGGTACAGAACAGACCTGACAAGTCTCACACAAGGGAAACGCTGACCTGGCTCTCACCTGGATTTTACTTTCTCAGAAAGGGTGGGAGGACACCCAGAGAGAGGGCAGGGGCAGGTTGGAAAGCAGATAAATAAAGAGATCAGCATGCTCTTGGCATCTCAGGTCTCAGATTAATTTCATCCCTCTTGCTCCCAAAGCAAGTCTATCCTTCTCTACGACATGTGTCTAAAATTCCCAGAGGAACCTGCAGGAGAGAGCTCCCAAAACTGGTCAGTTTATTTAAACAAAATTGCAGCTGAAGCTGAACTTCAGCTGCAGCTGAACTTCCATAAGAAGTGGTCTGGCTGTGTTCCTTTCCTGGTTTCAGCAGGATTGTCATGTTGCCTAACACAGTTCAATTAGCCAAATCACTGACTGGTCCTGCCAAATCAGAATTTTCTTACACTGCCAGATGTGTTTATTGTTCTGCACTCAGGTATAAACTGGTTGCACCCTCAGATCAGGTTGTTTATAATACAACATAAGTATTAAAAAAAAAGGAAAAATAAGAAAAACATTTTTTTTTAAAAAGGTTTTATTATGCTACAAACATCTGCTTTGCAATTAACCAGTTTTGTTTTGGCGGGTTTTTGACACACTACTGTAGATATCTCAGCATAAAATTAGCTTTGGTTTTAATCCAGTATTTATGAGATGAATCTTCTTAATCTTCACAGTGACAGATGCAGAAAGAATTATTACTTAGAGCATGTCTCACTATCACTGTGCTTAGGAATGAGATGAATTCCTGTAAAGTTTGGTACTTAAAAACGTGTTCTGACATCTGAAAGAAGTGCAACACTATTTTTCATTATGGCACAAAGGACATCTTTAAATTTCAAGGGCAGTTAGGACTCAATGGTTATATTTCCTGCACAGGTACCATGCTATGATACACAAGTCTTCCTTTTTTAATTTTTTTTTAAATGAATTTATCTCTTAATAAAGTGTGGACATGGTTTCACAACCCAAACTAAAAAGAACTCATGCTCTGATGGACTGCATTCAATTTGGTTCTCTTCCAGATTTCTATTTTATTTCTCTATGTTATTTTGAGATGGAATCACAGAATCATAGGATGGTTTGGGTGGGAAAGGAACTTAAAGCCCACCCAGTGCCACCCCAGCCATGGCAGAGACACCTTCCCCTGTGCCAGGCTGCTCCAGCCCCAGTGTCCAGCCTGGCCTTGGGCACTGCCAGGGATCCAGGGGCAGCCCCAGCTGCTCTGGGCACCCTGTGCCAGCCCTGCCCACCCTGCCAGGGAACAATTCTTCCTAATAACTGGGTTAAATCTACCCTTTTTCAGCTTAAAGCCATTCCACATCTCAAATCCTGGGTCAGTTTTGAGCACATCACTCCAAGGAGGACATTGAGAGGCTGGAGCGGGGCCAGGGAAGGGAACAGGGCTGGGAAGGGGCTGAGCCTGGAGCAAAGGAGGCTCAGGGGGCCCTTGTGGCTCTGCACAGCTCCTGCCAGGAGGGGACAGCCGGGGGGTCGGGCTGTGCTCCCAGGAACAGGGACAGGAGCAGAGGGAACGGCCTCAGGCTGGGCCAGGGGAGCTTTAGAATATTAAGTTTAAAAAACTCTTCATTGAAAGGATTATCAAGCACTGGAACAGGCTGCTCGGGGGAAGGAATCATTTTGTCAAAAGTGAAATTCTTAATGCTCAAGTGACTTGAGCATGGAAAATGTGACAAATCGAAAAAATAATCACAGCATCACACATTCAGTAACTTCAATAAGCAGCAGAGGAATGCCAGAAAAATGTATGAGAAAATTTGATTCTAATATGAGAGAATTTTTTTTTTGCTGTACAAAGAACAGCTTTTAGAGATCTTAGCCTGAGGAAAAGCACCTTGAGGAATATGCTTTGAAAAAACCCCATAATGTGTTCCTTAAATGATGAATGCCAGTGGAGAAACATTTTCATTTGCCTAAATGACCTGCAGAAGGGAGGGAACTTCCTGCCCATGAACTTTTCACTGTCTGCCAACCCAAGGATCATCTCAACAGTGAACATGGTGGCATGTTAATTGACACATTATGTAACAGCCTTTTGAGCAGCATTTTCAATTTATTTTTGTATCTCATGTTTTCTATGGTGGCACATGGTATCCAAAAATTAATTTACTAAGAAAGCACTGGGTTCCAGGCTAAGGCAGAGCCTATTGGAAATCAATGCTATTCCTTTAAGAAGCTTTGGGTCAGGTCCTTCTTTTGCATGCAGCACAGAAAATAATTTGTGGTATGTTTGCTCTGAGTGCTATAACTGAGTTGTGTTTAGCAGCTTTTTTAATAGTGAAATTTGCTTTCCATAAATTCCAGCTCAGCGGAGAGTATTTGTAGGAGACAGAAGTTTTTATGGGATCTAGGATAAACACTTATTTTCAAACAAATTAAGGCTGCTCTCGTAGATGGTGTCAGCAAATGCCCTACTCCCCTCATATCTGAGATTATATAGTTGAAGAACAGCAGGACAGTAAAATAATGTGTATAATTTTGGGCCACGTAAATTATGGGAGGGTTGCAGCAGTCCCTTTGCTAACCAAAATTCTCCCATCACATTCTCACTATCCCTTTGATTGCTCATAAGTGGCATGTGAACAAACAGCATTTGTTTGGCGTTACAAAGCGAGCAGCAGAAATTTCATTTTGCTCCTATGTATTCATACCTTCTTCCTAGAAATGTCTCCCTGTGGTTTTTCTCTCAAGGCAAGAAGAGACTCTCCTTGTAACATCCTGCAAGCCTCACCACTTGGAAAAAAAAAATTTTGAAAAAAAAATGTAAAAGAAAAACACGAAATACAAAAATCAAGAAAAGAAAGAAAAAAGACTGAGTGTGAGGCTCTGCTACGGTCTTCAAATGAAGAGCTTTTTTGGGCTAATGATGAGCTTTGCAATGGTGTTAAGTAATGAAGTACTAACTAATATAAAATGAAGGGTTTTTTTATTTTCTCTCACATAGTATGGGTTTTTCAGGGAAATAGATCTTATTCTAATACCTTACACTTTTAACACTTCTTTGAAATTAATGTAGAGTATAGTTACTATCATGCAAAAGCTGATTTTTGTTGTTATTCCTAATTGATTACTTTACAGTGAAACACGCGTCATATTCTGTTCCTTTGCTAAAAAGCTAAAAAGAACTGTTAAGAGTGTTAAAACTCTCTTTTTGAAGTCCACCTGAATAAAAAAGGTGTGTCTTCACATTTGAAATTACAATTGTTGTAAACTTAGCTATCTGATTAAAGCAGCACGTGGCACAAAATTTCTATTAATATGATTTTTTTTTTTTTGGGGAGGGGGGATATTTTGTTTCTTTCTCCTGTTTCCCCATTTGCTACCCAGTAAATAACTGACTGACTACTAGCATAATCTATGCTATAACCCATTCCCTTTAATGCCATGGACATTTTTTGGTGTTTTGTGTTTTGCTAATTATAACAGCAGCAGTGTTGTGTCTTGTGTTGATTTAAAATAAATTATAACATAGTTTCAAAGTTAAAACTGAGAGGTGCATTTGACTCTGATATAAAAAAATGCTCATAGTGGTTCAGCTGCAGAGGATTTTCCAGGCCTAGGGATGTGACGAGTGATTTGTATGGTAATTTTTTTTTTTTAATCAGTGAGATGGAAGATCAACAAAGGCCAATGGGCGCAGCTTCAAAATTCATACAGAGCCTGTCTCTTGAAGAGGACTTTTCCAAAACATGGGAATTACTTCCTTATGGATTTACTTTTCTTTTCTTAAACAAGTGCCTAAAGTCATGAAAAAGTATCTTCATTTGCTGCCAGGCCTTTACCTAGGTTGTTTTTCTGCCCAGAACGTGACACAGCACAACGTGATTTTACTATGATTTTTTTTTTTTTTTAAACACAGATAAGCTCTGATTTTCTGTGTGAAACCTTTTGCTACCAAAAAAATGTGTAGAGCTGTAGATTATCCTTGCCTAAACATGTCAAGAACTTCATATGACAGCAGTAAAAATCAATGGTGGAGTGTTGTGTGGATCTCTGATTGAGGCTGATCTCAAACCCTGTTCAGAGCTAAGCTTCTAATAATTTTTTTTTACTGCAGAGACACAAATGATGGGCTAACTCCTGGCTGGGGTGTTGCTGTAATTATGATCCCACAGCAGAAAATCAGTAAGAGACAATGATATGAAGTGTCTCATCATATTTTATCAACTGGTCTGAGATCTACATAAAATAAACAGCCAGGAAGGATGGCAACTTTATTGCAGCAGCATGTCCAATTAAAGCAATCCTATTGTAACTTGTGCACAGGTGCTATAAAATATGACCTCTTCATTTTATTCCTAATCAATGCAGCTACATCATCCCCTCTATTCCTTCTGTCTGATTTAATTTCAGGGTATTTCACTCAGTACTTCACTGAAGATTCAACACTTTCCTGGAGAGGTTACACTGTGTGGAATACTGGGTTGAAAACAGCTAAAAGGAGGGAAGATTCCACAATATTCACCTTTTTCTCTCAGCACTTTCTCTGTCAGTGAATGAATCCTCAAACACAGATTCACCTACTGGTGTAAGCTGAAAATTCTATATTCTACACATCTCTACTGTCCAAATGAAAACATATCCAGTTAAGTACCTTTTTCCTTCTTCTTTTCTTTTTCTCCTCTTGTTTTATTTTGGTTTCCAGTTCTGCAGGAGACATCATCTGCCTCCCTCTGGGTTCTCCATTGCCATCTTGTTTTATTCTGTCACTGTGGAATGTCACCACAGTGTGTCTTGTCAGGCTGACAACTGGGCAAACCCTTAAAACTCATTTCCCCCCTCTTTCACTGGTTTCTTTGTCTACCTAGATCTTGTCATACAACATCTCTAAACCACTTTCTATGGGTTTTCATCACTTATTTATTTATAAATAGATTTATTGACTAAATACTTATGCATCTAAGATTATTGTCTGCAAGAATCAGCTCATTAGAAAGACACTCTGCTGATTTGTTTCTGTTGGAGACAGCTATTTTCAGTATTTCAGAAACTAATGGGACACAAAACAGGCAGTCAGTTGGCACCCGCAGCGTTTACTATATATATATTCACCTGATTTTCTGTGTTTTTTTCTTTTACTTCCACTGTTGTTTCATACTCTAGAAAAGAAAAAGGGCCCTGCACACTCTGCTGATTTGTTTCTGTTGGAGACAGCTATTTTCAGTATTTCAGAAACTAATGGGACACAAAACAGGCAGTCAGTTGGCACCCGCAGCGTTTACTATATATATTCACCTGATTTTATGTGTTTTTTTATTTTACTTCCACTGTTGTTTCATACTCTAGAAAAGAAAAAGGGCCCTGCTGTCTGGCAGCCTGTAGCTTCAAGGGAAGCTCTTGTTCATGAAGCATTATCTGAAATGTGACTGCATGCTGCCCAGGCATCGAAATAATACAGCAGATACTCAACAAAACTGATTTTTGACAACACCTGCAGAGGCTTTTTTCAGCTACATTTCAACCTTTTGTGTCAGTGTTGTGTGATCCACGTATTTATTTCTTTGGTGAGATAAAGATACTGAGACATTTGTTCTGAACAATGTAAAAAGATACCTAAGTAGGCAAAAATATTCACTGAAACTCTGGGTTAGTACTGCCATGCAAAGGACGAGGTAACTTTTATCTGAGAAGTACAAACAGAAAGTGTTAGAAGAAAATGCAGAACTCATATTTTGGCTTCACTGGGGCTGTGTAGACAAGGAATTTGGTGAGTCAGACAACATGGAAAACGGAGCCCCATCATGGCTTCCTTGTAAAAAAATTATTTTCTTTTCCTAATTTAAAGTGCTGTATTAGTAATAATTTATTTATTTTAACTGGAGAACAAAATTAAACTGACATTATTGAGATATAGCATTTGGGGTCTCTTTACAAGTTTTTCTTTACATTCCTTCAGGGAAGTCCAGTTTAAATGCTGTGATGCCCCTTTGGTTTGAGCTAAGTGGAATCTTGTTAGGAGGCAAAACTGAGGCTCAAAAATGGTGTGTAATTATCTGTTCGAGGACTTGGTGTATGTCAGAACAATAATTAGGATTCAAACTTCATATCTATATCTATCTATATATATATAATTAAATCAGTACAGGTCTAATTCTTTTAAAATGTGCCTAGGATTCTTCAGACAGACAGTATAAATCCATCAAGGAATCACATTTTTCAGTTGTAATATGTAATTTTAATTGGCAGATCTTCAGTCTAATGAGCTTCCAAATGTTCCTTTAATTTGCTGAATTTTTCATATAACCATGTGAAGTTTTCAGCACCTTAAATCTTGGGTTTAATCACAACCATGGTGAGCTAGCATGGGTGCAGAATGACATCAGGCTTGCAGACATTTTCCTTGGCTGTAAATTGTCTGAAAAACTGGTCAAATAAATAATTGGAATAACATTTTTCTCACTGTTTTTGTATGTCTGATTACTTTCAGCAGATGAAATCGTGTGCCCATGAAATCTATAATGGTTTGTAATTGCTACATTCATTATTTTCAGTAGTACTCTTCTAACATTTGCCTAATAGTTTTGGAGGAGTGGGGAAGTTTGCAGAATTTTATTGAATTATACTAGAAATACTGTATGTTACTGAATACAGACAAAATCTTTCTTAATTATATTTATGTTTAATTCTGGAGACAGGTGGGGAGTTTATAAAGAAGGTAATTATACATTTAAATAGGAATAAGTGCAAGATTAAAATAATTTTATCTGTTTGTGCTTCAATTCTTATTCTAGTGTTCGCCACCCCTTAAGTTCTGAATCCCAAATACCACATAGGTGGTTCTGGTATATTTTAGCCCAGCTCTCTTGCACTCCATGACTTTTTCCTAGCAGCTGTTTTGGAAGTAAATTTGACAGTGTTCTACCCACTGCAAAGTTACTTGAAATGTATTTTTTTGTAATTTAAAAATAAAAAAATGCCATGAGGAGGTGCTGAGGCCTGGTTTCCATTCCTTGTTTAGGATCTCAGTAGAAGATATGGGAGGCAGGTTCCAGTTCTTAGTTGAGAAGTGTAAACGACAGAAATTAATAAATCCAAAAAATTCAGGTACTGCAGTGAGCTGAGGTAGGACAATCTTCTATTTGTCATATTTTTACAGCAAGTTAGAGAAAAGTAATTACGTTCTCCTCAGCAAGGTAGCTATTAAAAAGCAGGAGAAACTGCTATTCTTCAAAATTATCACTGCAAGGCATTACAAAATCAGTATAAAGATGAGGAAGCACTTAATCACTTTGGGGTTACTACAAGAAGCAACTGCAAGGCACCACAATTTCCCTAACAAGGTACTTGCAGCTCTGGTTTTAAAGCAATAGAATAAATAATTTCTGTTGACCAAGAGAGTCATTATCTGTCAGGCCACTTCAATACAGATTTACTCAGTCAGTGCAGACCAGTTTTTCTTTAAGCAATGCTGGAAAATTTAATACTTAACCTCATCTTCTCCCAGGTACAGAAGGACAAGGCTGCCAAGAAGGCATTTGCAGCTCAAGAATTAGGCAAGATTTTAAATTAGGAACTCTGTGTGTAAAACACCAGAACAGGTGGAGCTTCCAGATCTTGGGGGGATCAACTTCAAAATGTTAGGAGCCTGTCTAAATACAGCACACACTAATTAAACCATAGACTAAAGCATCTGATCCGAATTTTGTGTGGTGCTAAGAGCAGAAAGGAAGAGTTGTTTGGAGCTTGTCTGGCTCTGCCTCTGTGTTTCACTCCCTTCTGTCATTCTGAGGAATTTCACTCCTCATTTTAATCACTTCCCTGATTGCAGTCAAGCAATCGCACTACACCCCCTAAAATTACCCAAGGGGAGTCGTCGGGATGCAAAATCACTCCCGAGCTCTTGCGAGGTTATCGCTGCAACTTTTCCTTCTGTCCCAAATTCACCGGGCAATTAAATGCAGGAAATGTTCCTTATTTGGCAGAATAGCGGCACCCTGTGGCTCCTGCTCGACTTTGCTTTGGAATATTTAAAATCTCTCCAATTTCCTCTGGTGCATGCTGGTTCTTTATTATAACACAAGCTAGAAGTTATTTTAGCCCATGAAAGGCAGATTTCTTTTTAGAGACCTTGATGCTCTGCGTATCAGAGAAAGTGCATTGGGGGCAAAAATATGATTCTATCTTCAAAATGCTATTAAAACTAAATTTTGTGTGTATTTATTTTAATTATTCACAGAACGCCACCACACTGTCTCTGAGGTATTTACAGGCAATTATACATCTTACAGTATGGAATGAAATTAGTCAAACTGACCTGGACCTCAAGCAGTGCCTTGGACAGGGCTTTGTGAACCTGATCCCCTGATGCTTAGAAACCTAACATGTATTCTTATTGTTCATTTCTCAAGTAAGAAGCCTGCTGCTAATTTCTACAGGCCCTGTGTTCTGCTGGTGCAAAGGACTCTCAAAAACGAGGCAGTGAACTGACCACCTTCCATATTCAGACTTCCTGTGACAACTTTGAGTGTCACTGTCCCTCACAGCACCTTCAAAAAATCCTGCCACACCTGTCAAAAAAAGTGAGGCAGTGACACAAAATAAGCCACAAAATAAGTTTGCACTCGTATTTCTCTATGGTTTAATTTATTCTTTGTTAACCTGATATCACTACCATTTGTTCCACAGCCTATGTGATGGTATTTATTTAATAATAAATCTCTGCAGAGGTTAGTGCTCTGCTTGGAAAGAAGTGAAAATCTTTGTGCTTCTGTTTTTTGCTGGCCACCAAACTTTCAGCACTCAGCAGGGCTCAGCAGAAGTCCCGGGTGATGGGTTTTGCCCCAGCAGCACAGACATGTGCCTTGGCCATGCCATAAAAGCAATAATCAGCGTTTCTAGAAGAGTAAATTACAACCACAACACACAGAGAAGTATAAAGGATTTCTACTGCATTTTGGGTGGAATTTCAGTTGTGTAAAGGTCAATACAAGGCTTTACTAAGGTCACATTGCACAAGCTTGTGAATCTCCTCTATCTGCAGGTTGTTATGTAACTTACACATGCTTGTTTCATGTGCCCCATCCTGATTTTGCACCTGTATTTCAGGGTTTTTCTCAGACACTGAAGCAGCAGCTGAACAGCCCCTGCTAGCTGGCATTTTTTCTCAGATACACTGAAATGAGAATCACAACTCCAGAACAGGAATTGCCCCTCTGCTTGGGGCTGGGGTGGAGGCAACACTACTAAGGCAAGAAATCCCAGAGCAACCTGACAACAAATATAAGAAAACAAAGAGGAAGAATGCAGAGAGAGTGGCTGGTGGGTGTACAACTGTGTAAGGGAGAAGAAAGAAAATCCTTTTATTTTTCTTTTCTGACTCTGATTTTCTTTTTTGAATCTGAAGTAATCAGATTATCCCCTCTATGCAGAAAAATGAGAGCAAAACAGTGAAGATACCTGACTTGCTTTAAAATTACTGCACTGGATCTGCAGCAGGTGAGATACAACATTGCAGAGCTCAGTGGGTAATTTGCCCTAATGACAAGTTAATTGGCATGTTTAAATACTAACAGCTGCTGATTTTGTTACCAGTTTTTACTCACTGTTCATATTTTCAATAATCAATGATGCCAATAATACCTTTCA